TTGCAAGCTTTCAGCGAGAATCTCTTGAGTGATAACAAGAAGTTTAAAACTTACAGGCTTTCTCTGAAATTATTTCTGGGATTTTTTTAAATATTCAGTGCATCCTGCGTACATCTGGGTAATTTCATGCATTCTTGGTACTTGCATTATTGAGTACTGAAAATGAACTTCAGCAGTTGATGATGATGATGATGTAGATCGGATAAGAACACATATTGAGAAAATGGCTATTGTCAGCTAACTCTATTCAGCAGCCAATCATTTGCGCGTTCTTTCTGGAAAATGGACCAAAAATATATCTATAAATATTTTGCCCAATCAAACATTTGTTTTCTGCTGACTCCACTTAATCCATCTTTTTTATCTCCAAAATTTGCGTACGATTGTCGCATTTCTAGTGGCAGTCACATGGAACTTTCGAATTATTTGCAAAGCAGCCATTACCTGTTACCACTAGGGGTGCTCCGATCAGGATTTTTGAGGCCGATCACCAATCGCCGATCACAGACAGCAGTATCTGCCGATACCGATACCGATCTTTTTAAAGCCTTCTTTTTATAATTTATAACTATTTATAGTGATACTCCAATCAGGATTTTTAGACATTTATTCAGGGCCTGAATTACATTTTTGAAAATGGGGGGAATTCCCCTCTTAGGTGACTCTTGTGAGAGGAGAATCACCGCTCCTGGAACGCACTGCCGGACAATACAACCGTGTGCAGTGTGAACGCTTTAATCCGTTAACATGAGCGCGGAAAAAATATGCACCGCATACGCACTGCAAACGGAGTAATGTGAACCTGGCATTATGTGTGTGCACTGCGTGTGTGCATGAGCGCACCGTCTCCAGGAGAGCACGCGAGCGCTGAATGGTTAAACACTGGCAAGAATTAAAAAGTAATGCAATTTATAAACTTTAGTGACGATGTGACACTGCCTCGATTGTGCAAGTGACAATTCCTGTGTAAACTGTGCAGCGTGCAGCTCGCTTATAGACAGACGCCATGTGGTGATTTGAAGCCATTTGCGTATTTTGAGAGAGAAAGAGAGAGTGCGCGAGGTGATTCACTCACGCTGTTTGTGAAATTACGTCTCAGACAAGGTTTTCAAATTACTTTATAAGTTATTTGATGAAGAAATATGAAGGTGAGTACCTCACCTTCAGCATTATAATTAGTTCACCCGTGCCGGACAGAGACTGAGACGGTGCCGCTGCATGTCATGCCAAACCTCTCACAGCAGATGCGTCATCAGCTTGAGATCAATCATCCCAATGTGATTATCGGCCGATAGTGATCGGTAGCCGATCAATCAGAGCACCCCTAGTTACCACTATGGTAAAATGAATGAATAGTGAATGAATGTATGAATAAATCCACACAAAGCCAATGACCGCCAAAGAAAAGCATAGAAGGTTTACTAGGGCTAATCAATGTAATAATTACACTATCAATGTAATCATTCCTGACATAATTATCCCATAACTACCCATTTACAGAAATTATGTTTAAAGAATAACATTTTAGTGCAAACATTTTTTGGTAATTCTCACCTCATGCTCATTTTGATTAGAATATATATCAAATACAATATCGGGTTAGGTGGTCACATACACATCTAGCCGCAAAAGTTCAAATATTTCAATGGACCACAAGCACAAATGTGACTTTTTTTTTTCTTTTTTCTTTTGTGCTGAATTGTTTTGTTGTTAAATATGTGACATTTTGGAAGAAAACTGTTTGCAATTCACCCTGATTTGTAACCCAAAAAGCCATCCAAAAGAGTTGGTCTAGGTTTATCAGATCTGACACCACACAAACAAACGCCTATAGTGCTGGGTCTGTGCTTACTGTGTTTCACGGCCCGGGAATGTTGTTCACTCAGCACGCTGACATCCGCAAACACAAGTGAAATTTGACTCTGTGTGATTCTCAGTTTCCATTGATGCAGTTCTCTCCATCTCTATCTCTCTCATCATCAACATTAGCTCTATCGGCAGCCAGAGTACATTAGAGCATGTGTGATTGAGTGTGAGACAGACGTCTTCTCTCCACCCCTGGCACTGGCTCTTCCTCCTCTCTCCTGCTCTCTATTCTCTCGCCATCATCTTTCTGTCACTACACACACTCTGTTTCTCTCCGCATGCATGGACCGAATTCAAAGGTGATTTGTATTCACAGTCTCAAGTGCTGATCTACAGTTGGAGCAGCTTTTTGGTGAAGCTCGTTATGAACTGATAGTTCAGTCATTCATTCCAATAGGATGAACCTCATCTGAAGTTGCTTTTACAGAGCAAATAGCAGTAACACTTGTGACTGCACATCATTTGATTTTTACATGACTAAAACTACATTAAAATTCTCCAAACAGCTGACACGCTTTATGCGTGTCATAAAGACATTTCGTAGGTCGCTTGCACTGAATAGACTGAATGAAATCTCACTGGTCCAAAATCATTACTGTATATTACATATCAGATGTGTTCTGATTGGCTGTGATTTTTCGTGAGGACTGAACGATTACTTAAACTGGAAACTTGTCATGTCATATCTAGTTGGGAATCAGTCACCCTGTTTAAAACATCTATTCTCTAACCAGCCCATATTAACCACTTGGCAACTAACTAAAACCTAATATAATAAAACTAGACAGGACTGAGAACTGAATAAAAAATTTTCTCTCCCAAATTAGTGATTATTTATTATTCAAGATTCAAGTATTCTGCTAAAATTTGTGCAAAAAATAGTAAAAAAAAAAATATTGTGGATATGAAAACCATTTTATACGATAATATGTACACTTACACTACCAACCAAAGGTTTGGAATAACAATTAAACCGAGGCTGCATTTATTTGATCAAAAATACAGTAAAAATAGTAATATTGTGAAATATTATTACAATTTAAAATAACTGTTTTTTTTATATAAATATTTTTAAATGCATTCGGTTTCATATGATCATTCAGAAATCATTCTAATATGCTGATTTGTGTTGTTGTCGTTTACTATTTTTGTGGAAATTGTTCAAAAGTTTGGGGAGAGAGAGAGAGAGAGAAATACTGTTCATTGCTGAACTTTCTATTCAAAGAAAAAAAAATTCACAAAAAATATTAAGCAGCAAAAAAAGTTTTCTGCATTGCTAATAATAACAACCATTATAAATAATTGAGCCAATAATAATTGAATACCAAATCAACATATTCGAATGATTTCTGAAAGATCATGTGGTACTCAAAACTATTAAAATGGAAAACAGTTATTTAAAATTATAATAATATTTCACAATATTAATGTATTTTTTTATCAAATAAATGTAGACTTGGTGAGCAGAAGAGACTTTCAAAAACTCAAAAAAAATTCAAACTAGTAGTGACCGGTAGTGTATATGTCCGGTTTTTTTTCCCCCCTTTATCTTTAAACACATCTGACTGCAATTTTAAAACCTTTGCAAACTGATATGAGGAGTGAATTGCTGGTATTAATGTCTCCCTCTACATATTCACACACACACGCACTGTGTTTCTGTTTACATACAGTAAGTGTGTGTTGTTCGTGTATGTAAGCGTTATTGGTCTTAGCAATAACAACGGATGGCATTTGTGTCTGTGCTCGCAGTAGTTGACTGTGATAATAAAGAATGACATTTTACTTTGTGTGTGTGTGTGTGTGTGCAGTGATGGTAACATCACAATCTAAATGCACAGTCAGGTGGGGAACATTAAAGACGTCATTAGCCTCAATAAAGCTCAGCAGAAAGGAGTGGGCTGCGTGGGCAAGAACCCATTACCTCAGGTCACGTGCCTGTGCGCGCGCGTGTGTGTGTGTGTGTGTGTTGAGGTGATTAGATTGTTGAACACTTCCTAACAGTGCTCTTTATTTTCATATTGTGAATATCTATAGTCTGCGCTGGTAAGTGATTCAAAGCTAGTGAGTCATAAACTGGTCAAAGCTAATGGCTGTGTAGCCTCACATCAGAGATGTGTTTTGCTGTTGCAGTGGATTTGATGTGTTTGATGAGCAGGTGAGGAGCTCAAAAAGTGATTCTACTGAACTGTGGCAGGTGCAATAACTCAAACACAAAGCATTTGTGAGAACATCGCATATCTACAAACTACAACAGTGAAAACTATAATAGATAGGCTTACAAAAGTCAATCGTGCATGAAAAGTATTTGATAAAACTAATATTAAAGGTTTGCTTGATTTATAAAATTTATGAAAGAGAAATATTATTTCCTTATTAAATTTTTTTTGAAAGCCCCATTGTCAAATTATCAATCATAAATCATCAATAATAAATTAAAATAAATCATTTTTGTAAAAATTTTGTTTTATATATTGTTTTTATTTTTGTTGTTACCACTGTACTTTTAAAAAACAACAACTTTGTATCGTTTTTAGTGTAAAGCGTTTTGAGAAGTAACTTTTAATTAAAGGCGCTAAATCTAATTTATTATTTATTATTATATATCACGGTCAAGTTTGGGGTTAGTAAGACTTAAAAAAAAAAACTCTTATACTCACTTTTTATATTTCATTTATTTATTTATAAAAAAAATAGTAATATTGTGAAATATTATTACAATTTAAAATAACTGTTTTCTATTTTAGTGTATTTTAACGTCATTTCTTCCTGTGATTCCTGTGTTACATGATCTTCAGAAATCAGTGTAATATGCTGATTTGCTGCTTAAGAAACATTTCTTATTATCAATTTTAAGAACAGTTTATTATTGCTTTTGTTAGCAGTCTTTGATAAAGAGATGTTCAAGAGCATTTATTCGACTTTTCTTTGTGCACTTGGCTAAAAAGAAAAAAAAAATATTACTGACCCCAATTTTTTTAACGGTAGTGTATATAATGAAAGGCTTTCATATGATTAAAAACCTTTTGCAAGAGGTTTAAAAAAAACATACTTTCAGCCATACTTTTTCAGTCAGAAGAAACAGAATGATTTAATGCACTTTTAAAGTATCTTTGTATGTGTGTGACTCTGACCTGCACTGGAGTTCAGCTCCTCGTTCTCTGACTCAGTACCGTTCTGGCTTCCTGCTCCGTGAATGTTGTTCATGGCCATCAGTTTCATTTTCTGGAGTTTCATAGCTTCAGCCATGGCTGCTGCTGTCAGACCTGTGGAGCACACACACACACACACACACACACACAGAGAGAGAGAGAGGGGTAAGTGTACCTGGTAACATACTTGGCCCCTTTTACACCTGCTATAACATCCGTCTCAGGGGATCTGATGTCAAGTAAACAGCCGTCAGAAATCACCTGGTATTAACATGAGTCTCATGTGATCAGATTTTGTCAAAGGGAAGCTCACTTTCAACCTCAGTGTGTTGATAAAGCACAAACAATCACCGATATTGAAAATCTATAGTTTTGCACATCCCTAATCAGTACTGGTCGTGACTGCCGCCCACCGGCAGAATGTGGCCCTCTGGAAGAGGAGGGAGGGATCTATTCCCAGAAGGCCTTCTGCTCGTGGTCTTGTGCTAGTGTGTGTGTGTGTCCCACGAGGATTTCCCAGTGTTACTCACTGTCTCACACACACTTCCCGAGCTCAACCCTCCTCTCATCAAGGGCTCCTCAGCCCTGGAAGCCATCATCACTCAGCCCAATTAGGCCCCTAATTAATTCAATTAAACAACGGAGGGACACATTAAGTAATTAATTAAGTGACGATACGATGCCTTCTCGCACTCCGCTCTCGAAATTTCCCCACAAATCAGGTTGGGAGGAAGTGATGGCCCACGTCCTGTGTCTTTTTCCCCCTAGTGTGTCTATGTGTGTGTGTGTCCCACGAGGATTTCCCAGTGTTACTCACTGTCTCACACACACTTCCCGAACTCAACCGTCCTCTCATCAAGGGCTCCTCAGCCCTGGAAGCCATCATCACTCAGCCCAATTAGGCCCCTAATTAATTCAATTAAACAACGGAGGGACACATTAAGTAATTAATTAAGTGACGATACGATGCCTTCTCGCACTCCGCTCTCGAAATTTCCCCACAAATCAGGTTGGGAGGAAGTGATGGCCCACGTCCTGTGTCTTTTTCCCCCAGGTTCAGACAATGGATGTCACCTTGATCTAATTCATTAAAAATGTAGCCTCCAACGGAATTCGTGAACTAGCGCAGAAAAGAAGGCCGAAGAAAATTCCTTTATCCTCACTTTCACACACTCTGCGTGGATTTGGAAGCACAGGGCACTTCTGCTCCCAGAGGGCCGTGCGATCCCCCGTCAAGAGCTTACGGCTGAAAATGAACAACGACACGACTGCTTTTGCTTTCTGTGACAGACGGCAAGCCAAATAAACTAGCAAATTAGTCATACTTAGAAAAATACAAGTTGTGGATATGCTGGACTGGAGTGGAGGGAGAGATAAATGGAAAAAAAAGACAAGCATCTTTGAGTATTTTTTTCAGAGCCAGCCCCGTCTACAGTAAAATCAGGCAAAAGTGGCAAAAAAAAAAAAAAAACTATAAAAACTATAAAAAAATAACCCACGTCCTGTGTCTTTTTCCCCCAGGTTCAGACAATGGATGTCACCTTGATCTAATTCATTAAAAATGTAGCCTCCAACGGAATTCGTGAACTAGCGCAGAAAAGAAGGCCGAAGAAAATTCCTTTATCCTCACTTTCACACACTCTGCGTGGATTTGGAAGCACAGGGCACTTCTGCTCCCAGAGGGCCGTGCGATCCCCCGTCAAGAGCTTACGGCTGAAAATGAACAACGACACGACTGCTTTTGCTTTCTGTGACAGACGGCAAGCCAAATAAACTAGCAAATTAGTCATACTTAGAAAAATACAAGTTGTGGATATGCTGGACTGGAGTGGAGGGAGAGATAAATGGAATGCAAAAAATTTAAAAAAGCTAACAGGATATTATTATAAGCAATATTATTTAGAGCAATTATTAGCTTTCTTAAAGTAATTATTAGCTATATTATTCACTGATTATTATAACATTAGTATTTTAATATTATTACTGTTATTAAATGAATCAAATAATACATACAAAAATTAATTCATTTGCAAAACCGATAACTCGGTTATTTTTTTTTCAGAAATCACGTTTTTTTTATTGCGCATTCCAAGTAATATCAATCAAACTGCAGTTGGGTTGAAAGGGAATATATATATGAATGAAATTCACATAATAATATCATTAAAAATTATATTATTATCGGCAACTGAAAGCATGAGAAAATTAAACATAATGAATGTTCTAAATAACTTAAAAAATTGTACTACATGTAATGACTACAGACGGATAAAGCGAACACTGCTTTTATCGGTTAGTGGTAAGATTTTGTGGAAGGGTCTTTCTGAGCTTTGTTTCTAGAAAATGTAGGAGCGCTGAAGTGGTGGAGAAGCATCAGATAATTTCCTGTGAGGTCCAAATAAACTGTGCAAACTAAACACGATCGTTTATACAGAATACAAAGCGTAGAAAAATAAAGGAAAAAAAGCCCTCACAATTGGTGCATTGTCTCAGCACACACACACTATAAGCCCCCTCCCGCCTCCCGATACTATGTCAAGGAGAAGCCCCGAGATCAAACGGCGTACGTAACAGTAATTGATGTTTGAGGAAAGTCGTGACCCGCGGAAATGGGAGCCGGCGGATGAAAGGCGAGTGCCGTTTTGCAGGGGTGGACAAACAGATTGCTTATTGTTTGCCTTTCATATGGCCCTTCAGATCTACAAGTCTCTCTGCCTCAGACTCCCGCTTTGAACACTCAAGGTATCACCCCCCCACCGCCGCATGAATGGAGGGCGCTCGGGCACGTCCTGAGGAGGGGAGAACACATCTATCCTCCTTTCCTCGCCCCATACTCTCTCGTTCTCAAGATCTGACAGGTCCATCTCGTTCGCTAATGGTTCACCTGCTTTGGAAGTGAGGAGGTGAGCCGACGGGGCCGGACAGACGGGGGCTTCTGTAGACTTGAGGGGGGTCAGGTACGGGCCAGTCTGGATTCCTTTGCTATGACGTGCCTGAATTGGCCCTTTTTCATACCTAGACAACAATGTCCCATTTAATTAAAGAGTGGTATGAGAAAAGGTAGATTCCGAAGCGAAGGAAAAATTGATCCAGAGGAGTTTCTTTTGATCTCAGAGTCAGTGAGCGTTACATCAATGGATTCTTTTCAGCGTTGAGAGGCTCTCTGTTTCACTGCATTTAACTTTGTCTGTCTTTACCGCGGTAATGAAACGTTAAAGACGTGGAGGCACTCGCACCTGAGATTGCGGCCTTGAATTCTGTTACAGGTCAGCAAATACTGGACGTGACCATGTCCCTTGCTTTTGGTTCATTCAAAGGCTAAAATGGATTTAGTTAGTGTGTTTGCAGATTCTAATAATAATAATAATAATTATTATTATTATTAATTTAAAAAATTATAATTTAATTATTGCTGTAATTATAAACTCAAACATACTTAATGCATATGTTTTCATTGCAATGATTAGTTATTACTGAATAATAAAAGAATACACATCTGGTATCAGAAAATAAATATATATAGGGTCAGTTTTTTTTAATTTATTTTTTTTATATTGGTCGATCTCCAGCTGAATCAAGTCAGATATCTCATTTTTTTAAAGGCTCTCATGCTTTTAAAGGTTTTGTGTACATCTCAGACTCCCAGCATCTGTTGAGTTTCAATGGAGAAAGTCGCCAGGCTTCCCAACAAATATTTATTCCAGTACTTACTTCCTCAACCAAACATGCTCTCATCCCAATTCCACTTACAAAGATCCTCACATATGAAGGGCTTCTGTGATTGTAACCCCACGAATATACAAAAGGGAATAGAGAAATAAAGCAGGAAGAGAGAGAAATAGAGACCAAACAACACGCACAACACAGATTGCCTGTGAGAACAAGCCCAGAGAGAGATCGTGTTTTCCACAAAGAGGGTCAGTCAAGCACTCCCTCCGTTTCATGCAACCGGACGCATTATTGCATTTTGCATTTCTCCTTTTCAGATGAAACGAGGGTAAAAAAAAGAGAAAGGAACAGTGCCTTTTCTTCGCTTTGACAGAGCGTCTCGGGAAAAAGTATCAGATTTGTGCACAAGACGGGGGAAAAAAACAGGCAGAGCATATCTCCTTTGATTCACTGAAGAGTAAATATTACTGTCCGATTTCACGTCGAACAGTAAACCGAGAAAGGACAAAAAGGTAGAAGAAAGGAGGGCAGAGGGAGATGGGGGCGGTATACTGTATTTAATTCACCTTTGGAATTTCCGAACGGCGGAACAAGGGATGAGATGAACGCCTGACAAAGGCATATGGCCGGCGGGCGAAACCAGACTCTGGTGCTTTTCAGCGCGCGACGGTGAGAAAGAGAGAGAGAAATGGGGCGCGATGGAAGTTGTAAATAAAAGCTCAAATGAATGCTGAGATTTCCGCCTCATGACCCCACTGTTTGTGTGAAACCCACTGGAGGACTGATACAACTAAATCTAGGTTGTGTTAGTTTCCACCAACAAGAGTTTCCTCCCAAAGTGGAGCTGTTTTTGTTCGATATGAATGGCTCAAATGAACCTAAACTATTGATAAAAATCAGTTTAGAGTCATTTCAAAGGAAACTTTTGACAAATCGAGTCTGGATATTAATGTTTCATAAGGTGCATCTAAAAAAAATCTGTTTTTAAAAATACCTTTCCATTAATGATTCGTGAACGTCGGAATATTTCCGCCAATGTGACCGGAAGACATTGTAAAACACTAGCGTTTTTGTTAGATACAAATGACTCAAATGAACCTAAACTACCGCTAAGTCAGTTTAGAGTCATTTCAAAGGAAAGACTTTGGTTCCAGAAGGTGAATCTAAAAAACATTTTGGAATCTATTTCTTAAAAATATCAGACATTCGTTATGTTAAAATTTAGTTTTTTGTAACATTTCGTTTTAACATAAAACGTTCAAATTTGTAAACATCAGAATTTTTCAGCCAGTTTCCGCATCTAAAAACAAGGGTTTGGGAATCTATTTGTAAAAATACCACATTGTAAACTTTCTTGACATTCTATTCTATGAACTCATAAAAATCTGGATTGGAAATCTTTCTGCCAATGTGAACAGAACACATGGCTCAAATGAATCTAAATG